TGTTCATTAAAACTAATAAAATTTAATAATAAAAAAAAATAAAGGGAACAGAAGAATGGGCCAGTAGCTTGTTTGTTGATGTTACTATTTCATTTAAGTATGCAGAAATTCCAGCATGTTTGCATTCTGTAGTAAAGACTGCCAGTGTTCACCTGTAAAAAACAAACATTAAAATAGGTACTATTAATATTTCCATTTTATTGAACAGTTAACTAACTTACTCAACGTTGCCAGGTTATTAAGTGCCAGCCCTGGAGTTTGAATCTTTGTACTTATCCAGCATATTGCATATAATAAATGCCATAAAACATGTATAGCAGCATATTGTTGTTTTTAGGTGTTCTGAGCTGGTTCCAACTCATAGAAATTGTATACAGCAGAATAACAATAACAAAAAATTGCCTGGTCACAAGCTTTTGCTATGGAGAGTTTGTTCAGTGTAGACTAACATGAAGAATTTTATGTTCCATTATAGAGGTAGATTCTTATATTTTGATTTGTTACATGTTTCAGTGTCAATATTTTTCTCTTCCTCCATTTTATCATTCTTAATAGAAAGCAAAGGAAGAATGAATACAAGTGCCCATTTTAGGGGACAACCCTAAGTCTCTGCCAATTGTTTCTAATCTTAAGAATTACATAAGCAAAACTTATACAAGCACTGTTTATAGATAAAGCAGAACAAAGAGCTGGGACTTTTAAGCATTTTGATTTAAGTCTTGGCTTTTCTGTTTGGTCATAGTCATAGTTTACTCATCTGTAAAATCATGTAAAAGCTGAACAATGAATAAGGAAGATCAAAGAAGAACTGATATCTTTGAATTATGGTGTTGGCAAAGTGTGTTGAATATGCCACGTATTGGCAGAAGAAAGAACTAATTTGTCAGCATCTCTTGGAAAGATACAGCCAGAATGCTCTTTTGAAGCCAGGATGGTTCATTTCTTTGAACATGTTATCAAGAGGCATCAGACCACCAGCGAAGGGCATCCTGCTTGGTAAAATAGAGGGACAGAGAAAAAGAGAAAGGCCCACAATGGGATGGTTTGACTCAGTGGCTGCATCAATGAGTTCAAACAGAATGGCACAGGATGCAGCAGTACTTCGTTCTGTTGTACTTGAGGTTGCTATTAATTAGGATCTTGTCAATGACAACTATTAACATGGTATTGCTAGAAGTCCTGGTGATACAGTGTTTACGTACTCAGCTCCTAACTGAGAGGTTGGTGGGATAATGTTGTTGTTAGGTGCCATTGATTGAGTACAACTCAGAGTGACTTCATGAGCAACAGATGTGAACACTGTCCTATGCTGTGCCATCCTCATAATCTGTGACACATTAGAGTTTATTGCAACAGTCACTGTATCAAGCTATCTGGTTGAGGGTCTTCCTCTCTTTTGCCTTCCCTCTACCTTCCCATTCATGATGTCCCTCTCCAAGGAATAGCCTCTCCTAGCAACATGTTCAAAGTATGTAAGATGAAACTTTATCATCCTTGCTTCCAAAAAGAACTCTGGCTGCACTTTCTGCAGGATATATTTGTTGTTTTGGCAGTCCATTCCCAACACTACAATTCAAAGGCATCAATTCTTAAGTCATCCTTCATCATTGTCCAGCTCTCAGATTTAAAGCAGAGAACAAAAAGCCTGGATCAGGTACAATTTTCTTCTGAGTGATTTACAGCCTCTGAAAACCCAATGGAAAGTCAGCTCTGAGTTCCAACTCAATAGCAATGAGTGAGTGAGATAATATATGCAATTCACAAGTATAGTGTTATATACTTCTATAGCGTAGCTGGTAGATCCAAACCATGTATTTCTGTCCATCAAATCGGATCTGACTGAGACAGGAGGAGATTGCCCCTCCTTCTCCAGCTGAGCATCTGGTGGATTCAAATCACATGCCTTTGGGATTGCAGCGCACCTTCTTGCCATTAGGCCACCAGAGCTCCCTTAGCACTGTGTTCTTTTAACCATTTAAAAACTAAGATTAGCTGTTGAGTCAGAACCAACCCATAACTGACCCTCCAGTGAGCTTTCAGAAGTTGTAAATCACATGGAGGATATTGCCTATCTTTTTCTAATAGAGTGGCTGGTGGATTCGAACAACCAAAGAGGCCTTGCCTTTGGGTTGGCAGTTCAACCCAAAGTTCAACTTTTTGTGACAGCCCCATCAGAGAGCCAAATATACTTGGAGTGTTATAGTAGGTGAAGTTGTTGGGCAGTGGGAACAAATTGTGGTTCAAAACCACCAGCAGCTCTCTCGGAGAAAAAGGAAACATTTTGTTCCTATATATTTATTTACAGCCTCAGAAACCTTATGGAAAAGTTCTACTCTGTCCTAGAGGGTAGACATCAATAAGATGGTAGTTGGTTTTAAAAATTACTTAACCAGAGGGCAAGAGATTTTACTATCTAAAGAGAAAATGTGGTCATCTCATTGCAATTTTTGAATACACAGTCTTTTTGAATAAGGATGATATTTTGCCTTTCGATAATTTCTCTTCAAGTCAACCACCTACTCTGTGGGAGAAGGATGGACAGTCTCCTCTGATCTAATGTACAGCCTCTGACAACACACTGGAGGGTCAACTATGAACTGATTCAGACTCACCACAATGAGTTTATCATTTTGCTTAAAGAATGTAGTGGCTGGAGAGCTATTTAACAGGCCAGAAGATAAAATATATAAGGATTTGCCAAGGAATAAAAGGATCCCAGGAAGAAAAGTCGAGGTGGCTCTTAGTTGTCTGTTTCTAGGTGGAGATTATTCTCTGAAGTCATTCCTAGTCCGGAGAGTTGTGCTAGGAGAACATTTTGCATTCTGTGATGCTCTTGATGGGGTGTGTGAAAAGGTCTTCAAGTGAACGGAACAACAGTCATATTGTGTATCCTTTGTGTATGCTAGTTTAGAAAGATAATTTAAAAAGCGTTTTCACAAAAATTATCTCATTTGATCCTGGCAACAGATTGCCTGGGTGGGCAGGACAAGTATCAAGGGATTCTAGTATTAAGATTTTACAGAACAAATGATCTAAAACTGCAGGACTCAGGTCTTCTGGTGTTAAACCCAACATTCTCTCCATTACGCTTTCATTTATTCCTTTATGCATTCACCCTAAAAGCGTTTATTGAAGTCCAGGATGACATTCACCCAGTCCCCAAAAAACTGTACAGGGAGAAAAAGAAGTCCGTCAAAGACATTCCTGAAGCTTCTAGGGTTGTTTTTCTGTATGTAGACTAAAACAGAAAGATCAGAGTCTGTAAACTGGGATTACGGACACTTTAGGCGCTTGAAGGAATCTCCCGTAGGAGAGCAGTGGGTTGTCATCCCGGAGGAGACCGTGAACTGCGCAAAGCGAAGCAGCCAGCGATGGCGGGAGATGAATGAAGGGTGGCGCGTGCCTCCAGGGGCTGCGGATCCAGAGCTTGTCCTCGGAGGCGCGTGAAGGCGGCCGCGCGCTGTCCCGGCGGAGCGCGCACCCCGGCTCCGCGGCCCGGCGCC